AGCCTAATTTTTAAAAAAGCCTTCAGCAAGCAATCAGTTTAGGCTTCTGTGAGAGCACTCTGTCTTTTCCCTGCAGCCTGCTAAAGAAAGAAGGAAAAGTGGGGAGAGAAAAGGGGATAATAGAGAACTGGAGGAGGAGAAAATGAAAATGAAAAAAGGGGGGGCAGCTTGCCTTTTTGACCTTGCTAGCTGCATATGTTGCTCCTTACTCCTGACAGATTATGGCTGGCTAGCCAAGAGGATGTGGCTTTCAACAACAAGAACAAGAACAAAAAGTTTGGTCCATCCCTTCCTTTCAGGGACAGCTCATTCTGCCCAGAGTTCTCTGCAAGAATAAAAAGTCAGGATGGGTGCCCTACCAGGTGAAGTGCCTGTCTGGATGGATTTTTTTGGGGGGAGGAGCGGTTTCACCCAAGGTCTTCCCTGTGTCCTGGATCCAAAAGGAGGTCTCTGTCTCTTTTCTCCAAAGGTCTTTCACAACAGAGCAACTTCTGCCAAGCAACGAGATGTGTAAAGACAGGTTTAGTTTATATTGTGTGCTCTCAGTGCTCCACTTTGGTCTCTAGGAACAGGTTGCTGTTTTCCTTACCCCCCCACACACTTTTTTTTAACTGAAAGGCTCATGCAACAGCTCTGTCTTCTGTCCCAGCTCACAGAAATCACCTTACTTTTCCACTCCCCAAGAACAGGCAGCCAGCAGTGGCTGGGGAGTGGTGGAGACGAAGGTGTTGACACTAAACAGTCATGGGAAAGGAATGGACTGCACAGCCTGGGCTGGGGGTTGGGGAACCGGGAAGGAGTATTGTCAGCAGCAGGCAGCCTGCGCTCCCGTTCCCCTTCTGTTTCTACCTTGTTACACTACTAGGGACTGAGTTTCTCACAGGTACATAGACGTCTTTATTCTTCATGTGCACACATGTGTAGGTGTGTGCAAGAGAGATAGTCTTAGTTGTCTGCATTTCTATTTGAATACAGCATTAAAAACTGGGCTTGTGTGTGTCACGAGAATTTTAGCAGGCTAAATTCGCATTTGGCTACAGAAAGAGAAAGTGTGTGAGAGTTTTAACTGTCTTGAATTTACACTTGGCAGTGCTCTGTGTGGGTGGCACAGAGAGAGAGAGAGAGAGAGAGAGAGAGAGAGAGAGATTGGTGAATTTTATGGGACCAGGAGGAAGAATCTTTGGTGAATGGCCAGCTGGACTTTGAGCCCGCAGAAAATGTAGGGAATTCCAAGCTGCTTGCGGCTGTTCTACCTGACATGGATGTCGTTCTTACTGTGATGCGTAGCGCAGCCGGGCAGAGCTCTGTTGTGGCTGAGATTAGTTACGTAACTGGGGAGGTTTCCTGACTGGGCTGCTCCCGCCCCTCTACCACCGAGGCCTCAGCAGCTGGGTTTGGCCTTGATCTGGTCTCGCGGAGCAGCAGCTGTGGGATTTGGCCTCGGCTCAAAAATGTGGAGAGAGCTGGCCAGCTGTCTTGCTGCCCCCAGACTTCCCATTGTGGATGGTCTGTGGACTTGGCTGGTTGGCAGAAGGAGGGCCAGCAGAGCTGGGAGTGGGCCAGTGGATGGCTTGTCCCTGACTCCCATGAGGGACACTGGCTTCATGGCACACTCAGGGAGGAAAGAGAAGCAATAGTGTACCTTTAGACAGGTGCAACACACTTTTTTTCTTTAGATAGCTCTTATTTGTTTGTTATTTAAAATATTCTGCCCCACCTTTCTCCTCTTCCCCACCCACCTGCTTTAATAACCAGAACTGTTCTCTATCAAATCCCTAAATTGTATCTGTCAGTATAACAATATTACTCCACATATGCAGCTGCATTTTTCAAGTGAGAGTGCTGCCATGAAAGCATTCAGATAGACAAGCCATACATTTAAAAGCATATTTAGCCAATTAGAGACGAAATCAAAATAGATGAAACCTACTGGCTAAATGCACCCTCCATATTCAGGAGGCAGGATTCCTGTAATCAGTAGTTCTGATAGGAGGGGGCAACTAAATGGGGGATGATAGGTTTTGTTCTCCTTGGCTTGCATACTTCCCTGGGGTATCTTGCTAGCCACTGTTTTAAGACAAAGCACTATACTAAACCAGCGCTTCCCACCTGTCACGGCCCTCCAGATTTTGTTGCACCACAATTGCCATCATCCATGGCCACTGACTGTGCTGGCTGGAGGAGCTGATGGGAGTTGTAATCCAGCAGTACCCTGGTTGAGAAAGCCCAAGTTAGATGGGTCCCTACTTTGATCCTGCCCAGGCAGGTTGTGTGTGTGTGTGTTTCATTTCTTCCCACAGGAACTCGAAGATAGAACACCATAATAGTCACAATTAAAACCACTGTAAAATATAATTCCAAAAAGCAATTAGACACATAATATTAAAAAAACCTCACACACAATTAAAAACACATTTTAAATTAAGTTTTTTAAAAAAACAGCTCTCTGTATTCAATGAATGTAGCATTCCTAAAAACCCCAACTTGTGCAAGTCACTTAAAATCCTGCCTGAAAAGGAAGGTCTTTGCTTGCCAACTGATGGATAAGAGGAAGGGCCAGCCATCCAGGCTTGCTGAGGGGAGTGTATTCCACAACCTGCGAAAGGCCACTGAAAAGGCCCTTTCTAGCATTTTTCCCCCAATGAGCCTGTGAGGGGGGTGGGTAGGACTGAAGAAAGAGGCCTCCCCAGAATACCTTAATAGCCAGGGTGGTTCGGATGGGTCTTTCAGTCAGTGATCTCATCCCCAAAAATGGCCAACACACAAACTACCTTAATAGCCAGGGTGGTTCGGATGGGCTGATACAGTCTTTCAGTCAGTGATCTCATCCCCCAAAAATGGCCAACACACAAATGCTCTTGAACACTACTGAAACAGGGCCTAGGTTGAAGGGTTTGGTAGTTCTTTCTTGCCAAAACTCTCACTTGCCAAAGAGTGCCATTAATAGCAGGAGCCTCTGTCAGGAAGGCTTCAGCTGCTGACTTGTTATTTGAGGAATCCTAGGCCAGACAGATGGACTGATCCTCATAACTGTACCTTTGTGCTTTGCTGTTGACATCTGTAAACAGAGAATAAGCATGGCCAGCCCTACCATTAGGCTGACTGAGGCATCCAGCTCAGGCAGCAGATATTGAGTGTCATGAAAAGGGCAGGAGACCCCTGGTCGTTTAATTTGTTGTAGTGGCTTATGGGTTTCCTCTGCCTCACGTGCCAAAATGTATTGTTTGGTTTTCAGTCCTTCAGAAGCTGAGCTTAGTGAGAAGGGGGGGGGAGGACTTGTGTGTCACAGCAGAGAGATGACACTGCAGTTTCTAACCTCTGCCAAACAGTGTGTAAGAGAATGGGATGGGCTCCTAAAACTGCTCCTGGTTGTCCACCCTGGCAGACAGATCTGCATCTGCTGTTGCTCTCATTTTCAAGGTGATGGAACGAGCTTACAGGCTCAGTTGGAAACAATTTCTTCCATTGGACTTCAGTTTGAAGATTGCACTCGCGGCCTTGGGGCCACGTTTGGGTTGGAGCTGGCACTGCTTGGGCAAAGTGCCAGACTCAACATCAGTCCATAATGTTTTGTTCCCCTTTCCTGGTGGCAAGCAAGGCTGTTGAACAGGAGACAACATATTCTCCAATTACTCAGTAATACACTTTGCTTGGCTACCATCCACTTTCCTAGGGTGTATGCTAAATTCTATCTCAGTTTCTCAGATACGGAGTTTGCTGTACTTCTGTGTACCTCTGTCCCAGCGAAAAAAGCAATCATGTGTTTTGATATTGGGATGAAAGGGAGGGTACAGAGTGATTGCAACCCCATTGTCTAACAAAATTGAGAGTGATATTCTCATCTGGACCACCAGAGGAGAAATCTGAAACCTACTGCCTCTCTGCTGGTTCTGCAACCTCTGTTATAAAACTTGCCTTGAACAAGGAAACATGGCCTGCATAGCTGGCCATAGATTTTGACACATTTATCTTTCCTCTGTTCCATCTCCAGCTCTGTAATGCCCGGCCTGAGAAAGACCCGCGTAGAGTCAAAAGCTAGTTTATGTTCTGTGATTTTTATTTTATTTTAGTAATCTAATAAAAATATCACCCACCTGTGTCTTTTTAAAGGAGCTGGTTTTTGCCCAACTTTATTCCTTCCACATGTGTTGACCTGAACTCCCATCATCCACAACCATGCTGGCTATGGGTGACGAAAGAGCACCAGATTTGAGAAGGCAGATGGGAATGATCTGGTGCCCATGGGAAAAGTTGCTGGAGGTGGGAAGGAATCAGTGCTACGTAAGAATTCCCTTCAGGGCTTCTGTGATCCTGTAGTTACAGGGCATGGCTTAGGGTGGAAATGTTAATCCTCGTGATCAAAACTAGATTCCAGAGTAGATTCCTAGGTAGGTGAAACTCTTCAGTTTGGAGTGAGTGCCAAGGAATTCAGGGCCCTTCAGACGTTGTTAGACTGTAACTGTCAGCAGACCCACTCAGTATCACTCATGGTGAGGGATGATAAGAGCTGAGCTTAGAAAAGTTTCCCTTCTGGAGAATTCTGGAGGTGGCCATTCCAATAAGGATCGTATCCACGCTCTGGTTGGGTGTTGCAGTCCCACAAAGTTTGAAAGAGCCACATCTTTCCCCATCTTAACTGCACACGGAAGAGTTTCCATGCCTGATAAAATGGAAGAAATTGTCCAGATTGTCTGGTTCATTTCCATAAGTGGATTTACATTCCTGTCCCTGAAGAGCCATTAGATGGAACGTCTATCCATTCCCCCTCCTTGGGAAGCCAGTTCTTTTTTGGTGGGCGAGGCAGGCGTCTCCTCCAGCGCTGCCTTTGCCTTTCTCCTTGTGGTCTTGAATGTCCTCTGCTGAGTTTAGGGAAGGAAGGATGTCTTTTCTGCATCATCATGCCCTCTGCTGATGACTCACCTGCCTTTGTCTGCAGCAGCAGCCCCTCCATCCACCTGCTCAGATGTACATCCACTTCTTTTGTCTCCCTGTCTTAACAGTAGTCAGCCAAGCCCTTCCCTCAGGGAATTCCTGATGGCTCTCCGATCAGAGTGATTTCCCCAAGAAACAGGAGACAGAACTGATCTTTCCTAAACATGGAGGTGAAGGGGCAGCTGATAAACTCATCCAGCTACAGCTCTTCAGGTAACTTGTTTTCGCCTTCCCTTCCTTTATTCCTTCCTTCCTTCCTGGGCCGACCCAGTGATTAGGCAAAGTGAAGCAGCTGCCTCAGGTGGAAATGCAGGAGTCCCTTGAATTACTCTGACTTACTCAGCTTCCCTCAGGTGTAATAGAGGACTGTGACCTGCCAGAGGGAGTGAAATAAGAATACCAGTCTGGCCGGATTTTTTGTGTGGAGTTGGGGGTGGGGGAAAGGGAAAACATCATCTCACCTTACCACAAAATACTTTGAGCTGATTCTGCCAGCGGCTCCGTTAACACTCCACCATTCTGATTCTCATCAGTCCTGGACTCTCCACCTGATTGCTGCCCTCCCATAAATTTTGATGTCTGTGAAACAAAACTTGGAAAAGTGACTTTTGACAAGACTTTTCAGACTCTCCTGGCCATCTTGGCCACTGGCCATGCAGGCTATGAGATTCTCAGGTTGTAGTCCCCAAAGTCTCTCTCTGTCTCTCCCTCTCTTTCCCTTAACCTCTTAGTATCTCTCTCTCTCCCTCTTTCTCTCTCTCCCTTCACCTCTTAGTACCCTCTGGTTCTTAACCCTTTGCTTCTCTCATCCCTGTGCAGAAGCTTTGCAGCGGGATCTCTGTCCCCGGGTTCGGCTGGAGCGGGTGCAAGAATTGGTGGAGAAGCAGCGAGCCCTTCAGCAGGTGCTCAGTCTGCGCCTGAAGGAGCTGCGCCGGGTTTGCCTTCAGGAAGCTGTGAGTAATCTTTGAAGAAAAGGGGTGGGGTGGGGGTCTTGGAAGTTGGTGGCCCTCCAAGCGCCATTGGGCAGCAACTCTCACCAGCCTTAACCTACGTATCACTGGGAGGCTGTCTTAGCTGCCGTTCAGCACCATCTGAAGTGGGTGCTCGGTAGCTGATGAATCTAGAAAGCTTTCCACTGTCTTTCGGAGCCTAGTAGTGGTGACAATTTCCATTTCATTCGCATCCTTCACTAGCACTTGGGGAAAGATTACAAAGGCTGACTGTGGGATGGGCAGCAATTCTTTTGGTGCGAAATATGCCGCAAAGGTTTTGGAAAACAGGTAGATCTTCATCCTCTAACTGAAACGCAAGTAGAAAAAGGGAACAAGAGGTTTGCCTTGAAAGATTATTTCTTTCTAAACGTCTATAGGCTCTGTGTCCAAAGAGATCCTGCTTTGGCATTTGATAGACTGTATGCTTTATGAAGAAGCATACATGGAGCAAGATTTCTTTCTTTGACCTGGCCACATGTGAATGAATGTATAGGAAGAAATACCTCCTGGAACAGGTGCTCAAATTTCTCATCAGGTTTGCATATAAGTGATGAAATTCAGTTTGTCTTGGTGTGGAGAATGTAATCTTGAGGCTGGATAATTTGCATGAATTCCTTACACACACCTGTTTTAACTGTGGATTCCTCACCTGTACTGTACAGTACGATCCCCTTATCCGTGGAATCAGTATCCATTGATTCACTTATCTATGGTCTGAAAATATTAGAAATATTGGGGGGGGAATCCAGAAAAAATATCTGTACATATAGTTTTTGCTATTATCTGCGGTTTTCAGTATCCACAGGGAGCTTGGAACCAATCCCCCGTGGATAAGGGGGTCCTACTGTACTTACGAAATACAGTGGTGCCCCGCAGAGAGACGATAATCCGTTCCGAAAAAATTGCCGCTATGTGGATTCGTCGCTATGCGGGGCAAAAAAGCCCATAGGACACTTTTATGCATTCCTATGGACAAAAAACTCACATTAATGCGAAGATCCTCCATGCGGCCGCCATTTTCGCTGCCCAGTAAGTGAGGAAAGGGCACAAAAACACAGTGGGCAGCCATTTCCTTTACCCGGTGGCCATTTTGGAATCGCCGATCAGCTGTTAAAAAAACCATCACTATGCGAAAATTGGCAAGCGAAACGCTTACCGATCATCGCAAAGCGATTTTTTGCCATTAGAAACATCGCAATGTGATCGCTTTTGCGATCGCTTAAAACACGTCGCTATGCGGATTTGATGTTAACCGAGGCGGTCGTTAAGTGAGGCACCACTGTATGTCTTTCTTCCCTTCCCATTGCTAGGAACTGACGGGAAAGTTGCCTCCAGAATACCCACTGGAACCAGGTGAAAGGCCTCAGCCTGTGCGGAGGAGGCTGGCAGCTGCCTACCGAATTCCCCCTGCCCTGAAAAATGAGGTGAGTGACAAACTGTGTCTGTGTGTGAAGGAGAGAGCACGGAGGAGGAGGGCTTTGAGGGCAGGGCTGACCTGTCCTCAAGGTCTGCCCATCAGGCAGAGTGAGGGCTGCTGCCCCAGGCAGCAGGAGTAGCAGCAGCAGCAGCCTTCCTTCCAGCCCATTCCTCTTGTGGTCTTGTCCCTTCTTGAATGACAGAGCTGTGTAGGCCCTTGGGCCTGCCTCATTCATTTGTTAAACTAATTGAGCACCACCAGGTGTTGGGGGGGGGTAGAATCCTGTCCCATCAGTTCCTAGTTTATCTTGAATGACAGAGCTGTGTAGGCCCTTGGGCCTCATTCATTTGTTAAACTACTTGAGCACCACCAGGTGTTGGGTGGGGGTAGAATCCTGTCCCATCAGTTCCTAGTTCCTTTGACTTCTGTGTTTTGGAGTAAGGTGGGGAGGTCCCTTTCCCTCCATGGGGAGGCTACCCAGGATTATTTCCCTGCACTAGAAAAACTGTCATGGGCCCAACCTCTTCAGGGAACAATCTTCAGAAACCTTCTCCGCTCTTCTAGGAAGTCCCTTCTCTGGAGGAGCTGACCCGTGAGCTGGTGCTTCAGCAGCAAGTGGCTGAGGCAGCTCGGCGTCTGGCTGTTGCCCCGGAGCTATCAGCGGAGCAGCGTCGTCGCCGGAGGCAGGTCCAGGCTGATGCTGCCCAACGCCTCCGGGAACTGGAGGCGCAGGTCGCGGAGTGCCGGATGCGGCTGGGTAAAGGTCCTCTCCAGAGGATCAGCCACGGTGAGTTAGGATGGGCTCCTCCAGATCTTTTCCCTTCTTCTTCCTTGGTCCTCTTAGTTGTCTTCAACATCCCTAAAATCCTGATCATCCCTTTCCTTCTGGTACTCTCCACTCATCCCTCTAAATTACTTTTACCAATTCTGAACAGATCTTTAGAAAAACATCTACCCCTATGGTAGTGTGGCAGGAATAGGGGATGCTTTTCCCCTGAACAGTAGAGTTTGGAACGGGGGGGGGGAAGGCCATGCTTAAAACAGGGCAAGAGCCCCAAAATGGGAGGTGTTGGACCTGTCTCCTCTCCCTCCCTCCCTCCTCTCCTTTTTTCCACTTTGAACACATCTTACTTTCATATGTGTAAACATTCCTGCACATGCTTTGATTTGCCTTTCTCTCCCTGTTTCTCTTTTTTATCTTTATCTTTTTTCTTTTTTTCACTTTTGCCACCTCTACTCTTCTTTCTATCTTTTTCTCTCCTCTGTCAATCTCTGCCATTTTTCTGTCTCTTTGGCTCTCTGTATTTACTTCTGAACTCTAGCAATCTCTATTAAGATTTTTTTTCCCTTGTGTGAGGAGGGAAGAATTAGTCTATCTGTCCAATGTCTGCCATCTTAAAAGTTTTATTTGGTTTGAATGTATTTTTAATGTTTTATTTTGGTGCATATTTAGGTTTTGGGTTTATTGCTTATTTATATTTTATTATATCTATTTTTTGTGATATTTATATGCTGTGAACTGCCCAGAGTGGCCTCAGACAGATGGGTAGTGTAAAATAGATAGATAGATAGATAGATAGATAGATAGATAGATAGATAGATAGATAGATAGATAGACGTACGTCTCAACCTTCCTCAGCCAGCATGGACATTGGTTGTGCTAGTTGGGGGTCAGGGATGCTGGCAAGTCTTTGGGTCTGATTCCAGATCTTTGGTACCAAGTCCAGGTCCCTATTAAAAAACAAGCTTTTTCCCCTCAGAAAAAAAGAGAGGGATGGGTGGGTTCCGACTCATGAGTCACGTTCGAGTCATGCGGCGGGTACTCCTGAGTTGAGTCTTAGTCAGGTCACCAGTGTGCCTTAAGTCTGACTTGATAGCAAGTCCCATGACTTGAGTCCCCATCCCTGGTTGGGGAGACTCTGGGATGTGTACTCCAAAGAGTTACTTTTGCGAGCCCATGTTAGGAAGGTGCTCATGGTTGCTGACTTTCAAGATAAAGTTCCCTCCCCCATCCTTCTGGCATATTATGTGGCTAATCCACACACCCTGGTTTCTCATCCCTTCCTCTTTTATTCACTCTTTCTTTCTTCCTCAAAAAAACAAAAACAAAAAAAGAAGAGGCTTTTCATTCCGAGAGCAGCTCCCTCTCAGAATCGGCCAGCCATGAAAATGGTAAGTTTGGTGCATAGCCCTTGGGTGTCTTACTCAAACCAAGGAGGGATGGTTGGTGGGTGGTTGGGTGAGAGAGAGAGAGAGATTGAAGACCTGAGTAGAGATTTTGAGAACTATTGGACTATGCATGTTTAATTTTCTTTTGTATTTTTGCCGAGGTAGGGGTATGTGGATGCTTCTATCCTGTCCATTGTGCTCTGTCCTCAGACGACCCCCACAGCTTCCATTCTTCCAAGATCTCCAACCACCAGGGAACTTTCTCCGACCGCTCTTCGCCTCCCAAGGCCCGAGATCACCTACGTGCTATCTCCAGCAGCCCGGACCGCCGACCGGGCTGGCGGCTTTTGCAGCCAGATCTGTACAGCGAAACTAAGGACCGTAGGAATTCTCTCGCCAGCCCTACCAGGTGAGAGATCACGCTGGGGAGCTGGATCTGTTGTGGATTTCTGTCCGGTAGCAAAGCGAATGAAGGGATTGAGTTGCTGCTGACCGGTTAGCAACCATATAAAATCCCTCTTTCTAATTGTTGTAGAAGCAGAGATATGATGCAAGACTTGCGGTCTTTATTTCACCCTCCTTTGGTGAGATACTGCCTGTTTAGCCACTTACTGAGGGCATTAATGTGTTCCGGGTCCGAGAGATTTATAATTTCACAGTGGCCTATTGTAGTTGCACTGCAAATATGCACAGCCCTGTTTCCGATAGGCATACCGAGTCCTGTACTTCTCTGCAAGAGGTTTCATGTTCATTTCAGTGGATTAAGAAACCCCTTTCAGAGCCAGTGTGTCTTCCAGGCTGTAATCCGCCCTGTATCCTTTTACCAGGAGTGAATCCCAGAGAATTTAGATTGTTTTCTTCTGAGTAGGCAGGTTTAGGATTCCACTGTTCATTGACTACTTGAAAAAAAGCATTTGGCCAAGGTAGGAAGAAGGCTGCTGTGTGTGTTCAGAGACAATCAGTCCCGAGAGCCATTGCTGAAAACCAAAGCCATTTCCTTTTCTCATGTGAAAGGCATTCTGGGGAGGCATCATTTCATTCTCTTATTGATGTTATATAGTATCATTGCCAGTAATAACACTTAGCCGTGTAAAAAAAACATATTTTTTTTGAGGCAAGAAAGCACTTTTCCTCCATTAGCTCAATCATCATTGGAACAACCAGAACCTTGAGCCAGCTCTATATGATTGTCCTAAGGCTGATCATGGGTGCGGCTGTGTACAGTGGTGCCTCGTATAACGAGCGCCCCGTTTAATGACGAATCCGCATACCGATGCGGATTTTGCGATCGCAAATGCGATTGCATTGCGATGTTTCCTATGGGGAAAAATCGCTTTGCTTCCAAACGCCCCATCGGCTTGCTCTTCCCTGGCTGACGGAGGAGGGGGAAGGTGGAAGGGAAAGGGCCCTGGCGCGCGGGGCGCTTGGCTCCCCTTCTCCCGCTTCACCTCCTCCCTCCTCTTCCTGGGAGGCTCCTTCTGAAGGGCCCGCTGGCCAGCTGGGGGGAAATGCCAGCTGATCGGCGGTTCCAAAATGCCCCCCCCCCGCTGTTTTCTGGACGGACTCCTCACTTACCGAGGCGGCAAAAATGGCCACCCCTATGGAGGATGCTCGCTGAACGGTGAGTTTTTGCCCCATCGGAACGTATTAAACAGGGTTTAATGCATTCCTATGGGGTTTTTCTTTCCGTTTAGCGATGTTTCCACATAGCGACATTAATCCTGGAACGGATTAACGTCGCTATGCGGGGCACCACTGTACTTCGACACTGGATACTTAATGACTGCGCAAGGGACAAGCGTGTCTCTGTCAAGGATGTTGGCAAGTCTTTGGGTCTGAGTCCCAAGTCTGAGTCCTTGATATTGTCCTGATTCCCAAGCCTCAAGTCCAAATCCTTATTAAAAACAATTTTCCCCGAAGAAAAGGAGGGGCTGGGTGGGTTCTGAGTCACAAGTCGAGTCAGAGCCATTGGGAAAAAAACAAACAAACCCAAGTTGAGTCACTGGTGCAACTTAAGTCCAACTTGATAGTGAGTCCCACAACTTAACTTAAGTCCTCATTCCTGGTCTCTGTGTAATTAGTGGCCTGTCCATTATACATTAAGAAAGTGGACCTACAGGAATTGGTACACCCCTCCTACTTCCTTGAGGGGCCTCCACAGCTTCCCCATGTTCTCCCTCCTTATCCCCCCTCCTCACCTCACCTCCTTGTACCTTCTCCACTTTTAGCCTCCTGCTTTTTCTCCCTTCTTTCCCTCTTGCCTCCCCTTGTCCTGTTGTGCCTCCTTTTGCCTTGCCTCGCCTGCCTGTTCCTTTCATCTTTTCTTCCCTGTCCACGCCGCTTGCCTCACCTAATGAGCAAATCATGGGCAGGATATGCAGATTAGGTTGTCCAGATTCAAGGGATCTGATTCTGGTAACTGTTGTACACATCCTGTCTCACACTCCATAAACTAACCTGTTGCCTTTGTATGTGTGGGAGAACACTGTGCCATTGCCAGTCTTGAAGGAAGTTTTTTCAACAGCCACTCCAGGTGGCTTCTGTGGAATGTAGAATATGGGGAGATAAAAATTTTGTCCTTGGCTTGAAATGGCAAAATGACTTCAGGCTGATGTGCCCTTGCAGCATTCTGTGTAGCCAGAGCTGTTCTACTTGGGATGTGCTTGGCCTTGCAGCCCACATTTTCTGGAAAGCAAGATGTTAGATTGCTGTGTCGTTTGTGTTTGTGCAGAGGGCAGACAATGCACGGTGTGTCCATCGGTGAGAGAAAGAGGGGTGAGCGAGTGAAAGACAGCGGGAGTGCAGTGTGTGACTGTGAAAGGGTTCCTCATAGATACAGAACTTGGACAGTTTTAAAACTTTTCCTTCAACTTTCTTTTTATCTTTCTCTGTTCTAAAGCCCAAATCGCACCCTTCCTCGGAGCGTGTCCAGCTTTGAGGGCCGAAGTGTTCCTGCAACGCCAGTGCTAGCCAGAAATGCTTGCAGTGGAAGCCATCAATTCAGGTAGGAGAATCTGCTTTTGCGTAGTCAGTAATTTAGGATGTCATACTTTTGAGAACATCAAAAGAAGATAACTTGGAAAAGGGTAAAGCAAGCAGGAACATGAACAAGACCAGATAGGAGATGAACAGCCTTGAGTTTGCAGACGTGAGTTGGGCTGTTAACGGTAGGACGTTTCATAAAACTCTTAACTCCTAGAGTTGCCCTAAGCCAGAAGTGACTTTGACAGCACATAAGGCCACATCAAATATAGAGAGTTATTTCTTGAAATGTAGGCCAAGATGATCATCCCAGAGCAGGGTCGGGAAGCAGCCAAATACATTTTGCCACCTGAGACAAAGCTGCAAATAGAACTCCCCCCTCCTGCTCCTACCCAAAGCCAGACAGGTTGTTGTGGTCAATGAGGCTAACTAAGTAAATTCCACAAGCACTTCTCCCCTCCGCTGGCAGTTGAAATAAAATACAAACAAATGCCATACACTAGAAATTTCCCGCTTCCTTCTTGACATCCAAAAACTGGTGCTTGAGAAGGTGCGTCACGGCAAGGCTGCAACTTGTACAGAGAACTGAAAGGCAGAGTCCTCCTCAGGGGACAGACAGCTTCATATTCCTCCCTTTGGCCCTGCTGCAGACTTGTGCCAGAATTAGTTGCCCCCAAAGAGGTTTGTCTGGAGAAAGCAGCACATGGAAGGGTTGATTTTTTTTTTTAGACTTCAGTTCCCAGAATGCCCCGGCCACCATAGCCATGGTCTGGCAAGGCCAGACCCCCATGAGAGTGGCTGCAAAAGTGTATTCTTTGGGTAGATACTGCGGGTGGCAAAGTTTTTCAAATATATCTATTTCTGAGCGCACACTGGCAGTTCCTGCCTCTCATGGCATCCAGAACTTGTTTTTAAAAAACCTGCTATCCTTTCTTTCTCTTTCACAGGTCAGAAGCCTCAGCCCTCCACCCCCGTCAGTGGTCAGGAAGCCACGACTCCCAGCTCGGCCCCCCAAGCCGTGACACCAGTGCCGACCGGGCTTCCCTTTTTGCCGCTCGGACCCGTCGTAGTAACAGCTCGGAAGCCTTGATTGAACGGGCCCCTTCGGAGGACCCACTCTTGCCCTCAGGCCCACCTTTTAAAAGCACCGAGGCCCTGAACCCTTCCGTTCCCGGCCGAAACCCTCGCCCCCCTTACAACGATCTCCTGTTGGACTATTACTTTGAGCGCAGGTGCTGGGGAAGTGGCGGTGGCAGCGGTGAGCATCTCTCCCGCAGGGATGGGCCTCCCCAGCTGGAGTGGGGGGGCTTTCCTGAGAGCCCGCTGCCACGTCGAGCACGGCCAGCTGCCCGCACTAAGTCCTGTGGCCCCCTGTTGCCTCCCCAGTCCCGGGAGGTGGGTTATGCCACTCCCTTGGCCCCCCACCGCAACTTCCATAAAGCCCTGGCCCTGGAGGGACTCAGGGACTGGTATTTGCGCAATGCTGGAGTCAGCCAACGGGGGGCACCAGAGAGACGGGGGCCAGCTCAGCCTGTCCACCAGCCACTGCGTGGCTACTATGAACCGGCACCTTCTAACTCTGAGATGGGCTACTACAATGGGCCAGGAGGGCTGCCCCACTCTGTCAGCTACGCAGGGCAGCCTCTGTATGGCAGGTACGGAGCACAATTCCACCCTTTGCCCCGATAACCTCATCTGCATCTCTAATGCTTGCTTGTTCTCTCCCACCGGTGCTTTTTAATTTAAAGGTGTGTAGGGTGGGGGTGGGGGGAGGTCTTTCACTCCTGCTTTTCTCTGAGGAGTTTCCTCTTTGGTTTTTGTTGCTGAACATTTTAAGCTGCTTTGATCAAGCCTTTATTTTTGTCTTCACCTTCACCCACTATGGAAAGGCAGTATTGTTGGATTGGGAGTTTGTCATTTCATACCCTGATCTTACTCCCCCCATTTGTTAATGGTCTGAAGAACTTCTCTAGTGATGGGTGGGGTGGAGTGGAGTGGAGGTGGGTGAATCTGGGTTGAAATAAAAGGGGGTCAGGCATGCAAGAAGGGGAGAAGTCTTCCAAGCATTTTGTCTAATTTTTTTTCTCCCCTCTCTCTCTTCCTTCCTTCCTTTTGTCTCTCCCTCCCTCTGCTCTGCCTTCCCCAGGCCTTTTGGGGAGTTACATTACATGGATGACTCTGCTGGCCCCTACAGCTTGGACTCCACAGAGCACCCAGCTCCAGGGACTCTGGTCTGACCCTTGCTTTTTCCCCCAAGGGGAACTGGAATTCTGTTCCTTTTTTCTCTGTTTCTTTTTTTTTCCTTGCTGGTGCCTCTTTTAGTGTGTGTTATACACCATGTTGAGGAGGTGGGGACTGCCTGCTGGCAGTGGGGACTCCCTGCTGGCAGGGTGTGTGCGTATGTGTGTGTGTGTGTGTGACAGAGAGAGAAAGGGGGGGAGAGACTGAAAGCAAACATGTGGATTGTTGCATGTCACACTGGACCACAGAACTGGGGGGCAGGAATGTATCCCCAATTCTTCCTACACATTGTTAACGTTTTTTCCTGTATTGAGATTTTTGGGATATGTGTTTGATCAAAGTCCACAAAAAGGGTTTGGCTGCTCTGGCTTGCGCCCTCTGGTGTTTTTTTAGGGGGCATACAACAGTACCACCCTGACGCTGTGAGTTTTAAGGTGTGGCATTTTAAACCCAAGACTCTGGAATGTATAATTGGAGGTTTGTATGTGTGTATGTGTGTTTCTTGTGAAATGTTAAAATAGCACAGACCTGTCATTTTGCTAATGAACATCAGTCCTGTAAAAACTAAATAATAACAATAATGTCTTTAAAGGGGGGGGGGGAATACATGCTACACAACTCCTACTGCCCCAGCAATGAGCAACTATCCTTCACCTTAAGTTCTGTTGCCCCTTCATACTCATATCCTCCTCTTTATCAGATGTCAAAAGTGTAAAGGCTGTGTTCTGGAGAGGGTAACCAGTTCTATTCTGCAAACCCATTTTATCGCCTGACCCCTCTCTGCCATCAGATGAAGGACACCATTGGGCTGGCTGTAGATGTATAAAAATCTGTAGTTTCCATCCTGTTAAACTGGAAGGCAGGGACCTGTCAGCTGAAATGCCAGCCTGCGAGGACAGTTCTGCCCATTATCCGGTCAGCAGAAAACACCATTATTTCAGAACCAGTTCCCATGGCAAAGAGGCACATAGACTTCCCGCATTACAGTGTTTTAAAGCACCTGTGTGTACCTGCAGAGAGGAGTTGTGGCCCTCCAGATGTTTTTTTGGCCTGCAGCTAAATATAAATCTCTCATCACAGACTGTGCTGCCTAAGGCTGGTGGTGGTTGCAGGCCCAAAACATCTCTAGGGTCACAAATGGCCATCCCGATGGGTGGGGAAGCACTTCTCATGTACAGTCCCCACATGTTACATGTAGGATGTGGGACAAAGCCTAACGTAGGTGTTTACCATAGCTTTTGTAATGTGAAGAGCTGCCCTGAATGAGAGGGACACCCAAAAATGGTAAAAATTAAATTTATTAAAAATTAAAGCACAGCTACAGCCCCCATCCTAGCTTCCTTGCATCATCTTTCCCAACCTATTTTCTCAGTTCCCTCCTTTACAGCCTAACTTTACCAAACTCTTCTTGCCTCCCTCCTTCAAGAGTAATAAAATGTTTCTGAATTGTGACGGCTTGCCCCCTCCCCTCACAACTGCACAGCAAGGAATAGTCACTTCCTTTAAAAAAATATGGTTTTGCCAACTTGACTCCCAAGTCATAATGGAGGGGGAGGGGGGGAAGGAGGGAGAAAGGGAGCCATGGGGGTTCAGGATTTCTCCCCTTTCCCCTCTCCTCCCCATGTGAAGGAACAAGGGGCATGTCAGAGCCACCGTCTTGTGTGTCATTTTAATACGCATTAATCTACAGATTGTATATGGGGGTCTGAATGTAAAATAGAGCACTGTGCATATGATCTGTGAAAAGGTTTCTATAATAAAGATTGTAAAGATGAACAAGGCTACAGGGTTTGAGAGCTCAGTGACACCACCACGGATCTTAATTGTCAATGGCTTCCCATTTCTGGTACTGTATAAGCAGTGTGATCTCATCCTGAAGACGTGACTCTTAGAACATCAGACTAGAAGCTGGAAGAGATAAACAGTCAGATCAGATGTGTGCACGTTTGTGGTTTTAGACAAGAATTCCAAAAGCGTGCTGCTGGACAATCCTGCAAGTGTTAGTCCAAAACACACATACACACAGATGTGCATACCTTTAATCTGAATACCCATTAAGCCACAATGCTCATTGGGTGACCTTGGACCTGTTATTAGGCACAGTCCAGCCTTATGCAATCGGATAGCTGCTCGTGCAACTTTGTTTTTTCCTCCACCTCCCACATACTTTCCAAAATTTGCTCTAAAAGGGTCTGTCAGAACTCACCACCCAGCTCTGCAGACACGAGGACTTCACTGGGTGTCAACAATTCACACTCTGCTTTACCCTACTTCATATAGCTGCTGTGAGAATGAAATGGGGAAGTGAGGAGGAATGAAAATATGATAGTTAAACCCGTCGCATATGTACAAGCCAGGCTAGCACTGTCATTGGCAATTTATGTTGAAGAAGTTGGATCTTTGTCATCATTCAGATGAAATGCACACATCACTCTATTTTTCTCAGTATTCATCAAGAATAACTGCTTAACCCAATGTGCATAATCTATTGGATTCAAAATTTTTGTCCATTCCATTCATAAGCAATTACAGAAGAATCGCCAGGGTAGGGATGGGGGCAGACAACAAATCCATCGATTTGTGGTTAAGCTAAGAAAAGCAACCAATTCATACCGAACTGGTTGATGGGGAAGTTTTGGAAAATGCCCGCTGATGGCCTGCTGATGGCCTGCTGTGAGCAGAAGTGTCGTTACCTAACAAGGCTGGACCTACCGTTAGAGGATGAAGTGTCGAGACATGGTGCGTTAAGCTAAGAAAAGCAACCAATTCATACTGAACTGGTTGATGGGGAAGTTTTGGAAAAGTAACATAATGCCCACTGATGGCCTGCTGTGGGCAGAAGTGTTGTTACCTAACAAGGCTGGACCTACCATTAGAGGATGAAGTGTCGAGACATGGTGTAAGGCATTGGGGAAGAGAGCTGTGGGTTACAGCTCACCCCTGCTGGGCTTTAGCCATCAGGTGTGCTAGATCAGTGGTTCCCCAAGTGTTCTTGGACGAAAACTCCCAGAGAAGCCTTCACCACTACCTTTGCTGGCCAGGATTTCTGGGAGTTGTAGTCAAAGGACATCTGCAGACCCGAAGTTGGGAACCAGTGTGGTAGAAGACACTGGTGCATGGCCAGTGCTGAAGAGTCCCACTGTCCCTCCAGTCAGCTTAGCTACCTGCGGCACTCTCCACTGGCCCTTTGCCTCCTCAGTTATTTATCCCTCTTTACCAAAGCGTATTGTGGTGATACGTTTTGGGGTTGTTGTTTTTTTCAAAGAGGAGGTTGGGGGTCAAAACTGCCCAGAAAAACTATCCTGTCAACTACCCTTTCCTATCATCTGTGAGTTTGGAGGATCTTCTGTGTTTACTGATGACAGGGGGCATTGGCACTCCGGATATTGTTCTTTTAAGTCTTTTATTTGAGGATTGGGACTTCCGCAGGCCTCAAGAATGCTGAGAAATCCTTCTGCTTCTTGGCTTTAAGTTGGTCTGTACGTGCCACCTGTCATCATTATTAAATTGAATTATATAATATAGGGGCATCAAGCCCTTGCTGGTGGTGCAAAAAAGAAGAAAAAGAATAGTTCCTCATAAAAAAATTAAAACATTTATGTGTATATCCAAAATAACATGATAACTACCACAAGACTTTATTTTTAAGAGAATGCAAATGTTTAAAAAAGAACAATAAATAAGGTGCATTGGATAGCTAACATTTGTTCGTGTGTTTTGAAAGATGCAACACATGCTGTCCCTGGTCTGATTCGTACTAAAGGTACATTTGTGACAAGCCCTTTACATCAATTTTATGTATGGATCAACTTCCAAAGCTGTCTATTGTAAAAATATACATCTGCAATTAGACACTTCAGTATCTAATATCATTAGGAGCCACATTTAACACCATTTTACACATTATTCTAAATGATTTGGACCACAAAGAAGTAACCATTCAAAGGTAATGGACATCATATTCAGATGGAAACAAATACCATTGAGCATCTATACTTGAGGTGGCAGCTGTAAGAATTTAACAGTCCCTTTGACTTCCTTAGATTTCAATTGTAAGAACTGGATTCGTCCATGTACATTCAGCAGCTATGGGGAATGTCATGTAGTCATCTTGTTTCTGGAAATCCTTCATGCTGTGTGAAGATGTGGTAGCTATTCACGGATACGTGCACGCCCTCAAGACTGGCAAAATCAGGTACTGTGCCATGGTGCGTGCTATACCTGGCTAGTGTTATGTCATGGACTGTACCCATTTTGCACTCTGACTAAAAATGCATTTCGGACATTGGTAGTTTCCCACTATAAGATTGGCAGAAAATGATGCTCAACATACTCTAGGTATATAAATACTTACATCACATCATTGGCATCCTGACTCAGAGAGCGAGCACCTTCAGATCTGATACACTGTTTTTTAAAAAAAGAGGCCTACAGCTATGGAGTTCCTTTTCTTGCTATCAGCCTATGTCATGCCATGCATTTGCAGTGAAACAAATGGTTATACGACAGGAAGAGAGGTAAGTAAGCAAGCCCTAAAGAGAAGGATGGGAGTAGAGAAAAAAAGAAAGTTAGTTTACTTCTGTGAGTTTCCTCAGTGGAAGTAGGCCAGGAATGGGGAACCTGGGACCTCAGAGCATTTCATCCCTTCTTGTCATCCATGCTTCGGGGGAAATGGTGGCCTTATCATCCAAAGTTACTACCTGTGAGAAGTGGCACTGTGGTTGCAGCAGCCGACGGCTCCTCGCCTCCAAACAGTCCCTTCTCGAAGCTTGTGGCTACACCTCTGGTGTGCGGGAGAGGGAATATCCTTTCAGTGTCTACATGCCCCTCTTTTTTGACAGGAATGACCTCTCCGCGATGAAGGGAGAGTCTCCCTCATCAGCTTAGGCTTTCTGGTACACTATTTTAAGTGTGAGGAGAGCACTCGTTTTACTATGTATTGTTCCTGAGGTAAGATAGGTAAACAGTTTTAATACTGTAAAAAGGTATATACATTTTAATCGATACAGACTAGGTTTTACCATCAAGCTTGCAGAGGCCCCATGGACGGGGCTGATAGGCATTATAATACAAATACACTGGAGGGCAAGAAATAGCCCCTTTGCCTCTAAAGCAATTTTTAAAAACCAGCTTTTATGTTCTTTATCAAGCAATACATTAATTTAGCCAATTCATTTAACTGATCTCCTCTCAACCAAGTTAAGAACTGGTTGCATAAACAAAGAAATGGACAGGCACAGTATTTGGGCTCCTCTGACAAAATAACTCATTTTTGACAATAGTTAAGAAATCTACCATCTTCATTTATTACAGGATTACAGAATCTTTGGTCCTTCAGATTTTTTTTTACTGCAACTCCCACAATCCTTTTCCTGTTTATTATACTAAGATTTCTGGGAGTTATGTCCAAAACATCTGGAAGACCAAAGACTCTCTACCCTCCCCCCCCCCATTTATGACTTAACACACTACCTCTCAGCTAGTTCTCTTACACTGTTTAGAAATATGCACTTCACTAAGTTTGGTCCATTTGCTTTAGTTTCATACAAGATCGCGTCCAAATACAGACTGAATACGACAGATGCCATGAAAAAAATGTCATTTACAACTTTGCTAATTTGGCTCCTGAAGGAGAGAAGTTCTGCTTACCTAAGAAATCTAGAGATGAAATAGCAATTACCTGGACTCAGTTTTTCACATTTGAAAAGTAATGTATACTTTTAAGCTTACAACATAGTTACTTGGCTATTGCCTGCTGGTCTGGAATTTTCTCTCCCCTCCACACAAAGCATATATTAAGGGAGATGTATAAAGTTCATGAATTTCTAACCCACATTATGCATGTTAAGGCTCAGGTTTTTGTAATGATTTTCTACCTTGCAATACAGCTCTCTTCCCTAATGAACTAGTCTAATAGGAAATGCAGCCTTGTATCTTGCTATAAAAATCAAGAGACCATAAATTTTACAGAGCTGATGTACTACGGAATGAGGCTTCACTTGAAATCTTGCCCCCATTCTAAATGGGTTGGGTGAACTGAGAGAATGGAACCAGAGAGTCAGACTCGCCCCGTCACCTGTATAGTGCAGATAACTAACACTGACCTAAACTGCTGGGCTGTTATAAGAATTATAGTGGCATGTTTTACGTAAACCATTTTCAGTATTTAAATGTGGAACAAAAATGCTAAATCACACTAACCTTTTTACAGCTATTGCAAGGAGTACTCTCCCTTGAAACCACTATAACTAAACTGCCTTTCAGCTTGCTAACAGACTTCTCTTTGCACTAGGATCAAGTCATGATCCTTATCTGCTTGCTTTGTCAAGTCCCGAGGAGTTCTACAGGCTAACATTTTATACTAGATTGTTTCTAATGGCCTCCTCTTTCCTTAATCTTACTTGCTGCTTCTCCCTCTCTAGCATCTGTAAAACCAAAATGGGTAAGAATTCCAACATTTAGTACTTATGAGAAACACTGCCTTGATTTCCACTCTGCTTTCTCTTTCTACTCCCCTCCTAAGTTTCATTAATTGCTACTCTGAGCTTGGGGCTTCCAATGATCTTCTGCTCTAATCCTGAGAAAATAATACATTTTTTACATATGCTCATAGCCAGGTTGTTCAATTGGGTTGAGTGAGATAAGCACACAGGCCAAGGGTGGAGGAGAATCAACCATCCGCTGGAAGGAAGGAAGGAAAGTACTGTGTTTCCAGAGGGAAGAGGGAAGCGTAGCAATTGTCTTAAGACCCAGCTTCCTGTTCCTGCCCTAGAGCTTCCAGGAGGAGTCCCACGGGTGTGCGCTTGAGTCCGATGCTCTCCATTTTGTTCTCTATCTTGTTTTTGAGGTTTCGGAGACGCAGGGAGGCATGGATGAGGCTCACTGCAGTGAAAGGAGTGGAGGGAGATTTTAAGGTTTATAGAGGCAGCAGTGGAAAGACGAAACCATTATGTTCTCTTACTACAGACACTTCCCTTCCCACAGAATAATTTATGTCCTCATAACCAGGCTTGGAAGAATGAAGGCAGTGCAGGCGGTCCCCTGGGAAGGACTGGTGCATTCCTCCAGATAAGAAATGCAGGAGTAAAATTTGTCTGTTAATGGTTCTCCAGCTTTACAAGTGCAGTTTCCCAGCAATCAGGTTAAAAAAAAAAAAAAACACAACTCTTTTGTAGAAAGATTCCTGCAGATATATGTATTCCAATTATTATTTCAATTAGCTTTTCCATGTCAAGTGCATGCAGTAGGAGCAGGCAACCTGGGAGTTTTAATTACTGCTTTCTTCAGCTTCAATCGTGGGCAATGGTCCAGAACTAAAAGTTCTTTTGGACTACAACACCTAGATACCTTGATAATTGGTCATGCTGTCTGGAGTGGGTTGTCATCAAGAATACTTGATGGGTACCAATCTGCTATAGGGTTTAGGGCCTCATAAGGCTAATTCCTGCTCAGATATGGCTCCAAATGCACCCTTAACAAAGATGCTAGCTAAAATCCTGTTGTTTTCTTATGCCTGCAAATGGCAAACAGCAGAACATTCAGTCCCTTCTGCTTGAATCCCGCTGCTGGGATTCTCAAACGTGTGTCAAGCCAGCGTATCCCAAGAATCTCAGCGGTGACTCATTACTTGACAGGTAGAAACAACTGAATCTTCTGTCATTTGCCTTCCACACGTGCAACAAAACAACAGGATTTCAGCCACTGTTTCTTAACTTAGCTTACCTCACAGGAATGCCATGGGGTGAAATATAATGTCCTGAGCTCCATGGGCAGTGAATGAGAACCAAATTATCCCAGCTCTCTATAGCATAGAAGCTCTAAGAGACCTATCATGTATAAAGAGCGAGTAGTTCATCAAGGGCAGAAATCCCAGGTAAAAGTGTTCTGTTAGCTTCTCACAGGGCAGTTGAGGGAGACAGGGAACAACGACACACAAACTACAGTAGCACCTATTGACTAGCCTCCAGACATGCTATTCTGCAATCCATTCTAGATTTGAGATAGCACTCCCCATACATTTCAAAGCTTATATTGTCAACCAAGGAGGCTTGAAGCTTGTTACAGAAAAAAGTGAAACTAGGGAATCCCTGGAAGACATTCCCTCCATTATGGAGGTTTTCAGTGCTTCACAGCATTGCAGCACACCTTTGGTCCTAAGTATATCATGGGAAGGTTGGGGAACAGAACCGGATGCTATGTTTTGTTGTTGTTTAGTCGTTAAGTCGTGTCCTACTCTTCGTGACCCTATGCTACGTTATCTTGACACTAAATGTAGCCCATTTTCTCTCGTATTAATTCATTCAGAAGAGTGCAGTAATGTACTTCTTGTAGTAGAAGCATACATGTGTTCATAGATCTGCTTTAGGCACAACCTTAAAATAAGAGCCAAGAGCCAATAGTGTAAGAACAATGCAACCAGCCAGCCGACAGCTGTTCCCAGCCAAGGTCCAGAGCCACCCTGTAACACAACTTGTTTTGAGCAAGAGAAAACACAGTTGCCCAAAGGAAGGTTTATCTTCTGCCTACAACATGTAACTGTGTAGGATGTAAAATCTAGTTCAAGGCATGGAAGTCAGAAAATCACCTACAGTACTTGCTTTCTGACAACCAAGGTCAACTAGGAAGAGCAAACTGCTTAAAACTAAAGTTTCATCCCATGAATACAGAATCCTTTTGCAAATATGTTCTGTGTCCTTTCAGATTTATCTGAACCAAATGAGGACTAGAAACTTAATTTTCATGGAAGCTAAGAGCCTTCTCTATCAAATCAGATTCTTCACATGCAGAATCATGTTCTGCTTAGGCTTTGTGGAAATATTCTGGGGTTAATCCCAAGTTCAATGCAAATGTTAACACAGCGAGATATGCAAAACCTCTGCAACCATCACATAATCTAGAGGCGTCAATGCTATACCTATAGGTACAATTTTCCCATCCTCCCCTGCAACCCTAATTCTATGTGGAGACTCACACATTATGGGCAGGGCGAAGAAAATCAAGAAGGTGGCAGAGCCTTCCAAGAGAGACACCAGAAAATATGCCAAGCCAAGGATAATGAAGACACAGGTGCCAGGGTAATTCCGCCTGAAGCGCCGCACAGGAGCCTTGTTCTCAGCTGTCCAGACGAAACCCACAAAAATCAGAGTGATGAGGGCACCGCTCAGCAGAGTCAGTCCAGGGCAAAAGAACCTGCAAGGATACAGGCAAGGTGGGACCTAGGAATCCATCTTCAGTTTAAAGGCAATAGACCTTGTTGACAGACAGGTGTGGACTGGGCTACAGGTGAGAAACCAGGAAGAGGTCTGGTAAAAGAAGTATGAACATGCAAAGAATTCAAAGAAAGCCCAGTTAGATGTTTTTTTTTGGGGGGGGGAATATTGTTTGATATCTGTGACTTAATAAGAGCTCATTCCGGAGCCAGTAGAAGAAGGGACGGTGTAACACCTGTTCTACATTTATCCCTCCCTCTGTGGGAGAAAAAGAAGTTTTGCCATTTAGATGCCAGTACACACATTCATCGTGGTGTAGTGCACTGGTTCTTAACCTTGGGTTATTCAGGAGTTTTGGACTGCAACTCCCAGAAGCCTTCACCACCAGCTGTCCTGACTGGGGTTTCTGGGAGTTGCAGTTCAAAAGCATCCGAGTAACAAAGGTTAAGAACCACTGCTGTAGTGGATAGAGTGATAAATTAGGACTCAGGAGACCCGGGTTCAAATCCTTGCTCAGTCACGGAAACTCACTGTGGGAGTGGAACTGGTAAAACCACCTCTTAAATATGTCACTTACCTCGAAAGCACTGTGGGGGATCGCTATAAGTTGGTTGCAACTTTACAGCACATAAGCAACAACACATCCACTTGTATTTAGCTTGCACTGATTGCTGTCTAGAGTTTAAAAGGGGAAAGTTGATTTTCATGACAACAACTTCCAAAACCATGGCTCAATAATACCCAAGTTGGCTGTGCCATTCTGGGAGTCGATAGTCCAACAAAGTTCTCCCTTCCCTGGGCTACAAAACTGTCTGAATGTTAAATGCCATCTGCCACAGCACTGGTGAGAGATGATGGCAGCTGCAGCTTAACAATATCTGGATGGCCAGGTTTCCTACTCCCATGGTACACTTTTGTCCACAATGAGCACAAAGGCCTTGACCATCCCATCTTGCAGCAAATTTTATTTGCCATCGCCATCTTAAGCGATCTGAAGACCATTTGAATGAAGGGAAGCTGTACACGTTACCATCCAAAGGGAGCACTAAAATTATCAAACTGTACCACTGTGATGGCCTTACTACTGAGCAAGCAGGCATAGAACTGCACCATTAATTTCTGGAAATAATTATGTCAGGGTTCAAGTAGACCCACATGATAACCCCACCTTGAGGGTGGGTTGAGGCGCGTGAGCACTCTAAGTGGCACACTTCCATGGTCGGCAGGGTGATCACTCATAAAACACCTTTTGCCTCAGGCAGCAACTTTCCAGTGTCATGAAACAGCAGCAAATTGTGAGCTATTAATTTCTTGTCGTCGTCAGACATTTTCCGCCCAAACATGTGGAGAAGCAGCAAAAGATGCTGGGATCTTTTGCATCAGGTTCTAAAATAGCATGCCTGGTCCCAGATTCTGTGTACCTTTGTGTTGGGGAAGGTCTGACTCCCCACATGGGAGTACATGGGGCTTATTCTGCATTTATTGCTTTCCCTCAGGTAGCAAAGTCCCAGCTCCTGACTGAGGAAACCAGCTGATCTGCCTGTCATGCAGCTGACAAAAGCTCAGAAAAGTGGGGAGGGGAGAGAGGAAAGGGAAGAGAAAAAAAAGGAACATACTTAGATCGAACCAGCAACTTCTAGGAACAATTCTTAGGTTTGATTTACACATAGCCAATGCAAACCCAGTTGGGTTGTCATCCACTGTTCTCCCACCACCACCCCAAAGTGGGCCTGCTCCTGTATCTTCAACAAGAAGGTTAAGCTAAAAGAGGGAGGGGGCAGAGCAGTATTTTTCCTGTCATGAAGAGAAGCACAAAGGAAGAAAGAACATCCACATTTTGACTTTTATTGGGGACTTAGGGTGGCCAAATGCAAAAGAGGGCAGGGATCCTGCGCCTTTCACTTGTGTAGATGTAGAACAGGATATTTTAGCTCATGAACTCTGCCATATCAATATTCTTTCTTCTGCAGGGCTAAGGAAGGATCAGAAAGGCTGTTTTCCCTTTTGCGTCTGGTCATCTTACAAAGTTGCTGTGAAATACACATGGGGCTTTTTTTAAAAAAAGGTGGCAACACTGCCCTGCACAGCCCTTTTTGTCCAATGCATGGTATAAAAATACAGATTATGAAGAGATGAAATACCGCACTTCTAGCGAGCTAACTCCACGTGACTGAGGTTTCATAAAAATCCCCCCCCCCAAAAAAAACCATTCCTACCCCCATTTTGCTCCTGGCCCTACGTAGCAGGGGTGTAAATGGTCTGACCATTATGCCCAACACGTGCTCCTTCTTTCGCATCCTGCGCCCCAAAGGACACCCCCTTCCCCAGCCTTTCCAAGAAAGGGGTGTTCGATGCCGCACCCCACCCCGCCCCGCCCCGCTGCCGTGGCACTCACCCGCCCAGCATCAGCGCCAAGCCCAGCAGCAGCAGATAATTGCTCTGGTAATAAAGGAGGTTATTGATGACGCGGTTGTGCCAGCGCTGGAGATCCCGCACGTCCGGGAAAGCCAACCGGCTGGATCCGAGCAGAAAATCATCTAGAGCCCGAAGCGGGGGAAGCCGCACCTCAGACATTTTCGTTGTCTTCGGAGCGAAGAGCGAACTACAATCCCCATAATGCAAAGGGGAGGGGACTCGCCACGGGGAAAGATGGGAAATGCAGTCCTATGGACCACTCCTGCCTTTTCCTCAGATTGTCGTTTTCAAACGCATTGCGTCGGCAGGTCCTTTTTTAAAGAGCAGAAATAGATTTTTTTTTCTGGAGTTGGAGCCAAACTATATCTCCAAACTATAGCCCGTGGCGGGCTTTTGTTTTTGTTTTGTTTTGTTTTGTTTT